TTAAGACAATTGAGTAGAGTCTTTTTATAATATAAATTTGAATTAACAAATCAATGTTGGCAATACTGTCTAGCAGTAGAAATAGATCTTTAACATGCATAGACATATATAACCAGATAGCACAATACAACCTCAAAAATTATACAAAAATTGTGGATCCATATATGTTTTCTGGCAGATGGACTAAGTTGAGGTTTTGCTTAGATGGGCAGAGTTTCTGCATGCTATAATAATTCCTTTAAAGCTGTTTTTAAAATCAGAATTGCATTCTGTTGTCTCCAAGAGCTTTGAGATCCTGTTTTGAAGTTTGTGCTTAAGGTGGGCTTATCAACAAACACAAACAAAAGCAAATGGAAAAAGCAACAGTGCACAGTGAATTTGGAAAACTCAGAAAATAAAGAGTGGCCCTAAAAGGCCTGAGTTAAAAGGGACAGATTTTTTGGTGGCTCCAGAGACAGAGAGCTCCAGAGGTAAAGCCTGAGCAAAAGATGGCTGCTGCACATCTGGAGACAAAGAATATGGGGGAGGGAAAGGAAAGATGCAGAGGCTCAGCAGGGTGCAAGCAGGGGTTGCTGGTATATGAAGTATCCAGTTTTACAAGCACCAGTTTCCTTTTCTAATTTTTCTTTTTATTTTTTTATATTAAATTTTATTTAGTTACTTTTCAAGTACATTTTTTTTATCTATTTCTCCCATCCCACCCCACCCCCCCCCCCGCCCGATCTCCCCCCCCTCCGTCCCCCCCCCCCCAGTCCTCATCTCTGTGTCTTTCATACTTGTTCCTCAAAATCCCTCCCCCTTTTTCCTCTTAAGTTCCCTTCCCTCTCCCCTCTGGTCGCTGCCCACTTGTTCTCTATTTCAGTGTCTTTGTTTTTATTCAGTTTGCTTGTTTGTTTTATTCTTTAGCTTCCTGTCAAAGGTGAGATCATATGGTATTTGTCCTTCAATGCCTGGCCTATTTCACTCAGCATAATGCTTTCCAGTTCCATCCATGTTGTTGCAAAAGGTAGTAGCTCCTTCTTTCTCTCTGCTGCATAGAATTCCATTTTCAAGGTGTTTACACAATTTAGATTTTTTTTCCTAAGGGAGGCAATAGTTGCCTCATGATTTTATTTTAGACCAATTTTTTTAAAGGCTTTTCTGTCTTTCTGGAAGGTACTGTATTTTTCTAATTGAATGTGCAAATAGAAAGCTTTTGTGGTTTCAAAGGAACCCCATCTTGGCCAAAAAAACTTGAGATCATCTGGCATGATTTTTGTCCAGAGACCTAGCCAAGCACAGTTCTCTGGACTACAGTTTTTGTACATTACTCTGTTGCCACCAGGAGGCAGTTGATTAAAATGAAAATTTTAGAGCATGGGTTAGGCATTTTGCACTCCTCCTATAAACAGTGTCTTCTCCCCTCCCCAGTGCCTCTTAAGGGTGAGCATTCCTACAGGTATCTCTCCTTGTGAAAGCATCCTGACATCCCCACTAACATTATGGACAAGGCTTATTACCAATTTGGAGGATACTCTCCTTGGTACTGAATGGGGCAGAGGAAAGACCTCCCTGGAAAATACCCTCCCTGATACCAAACACAACGGAGAGATACCCCTTCTAGGCACCAAAACTAAATCACATTAATGGGCCCTCTCAGTACAAATGAATGAACTGAGGTCACTGGATGAGGGTCCCATACCTAAACCAAATAAATTCTCCAAGATCTCAACCACAAGTCTGGGAGATGTTGGATCTGAAAGGTCTTACTCAAGACCTTCATACACCACTGGGAAGACAACTTAAGCACAAGGGGCTTGTGCAGGTGCCAGATGCTTTGGTTTTAGGGTGGCATCAGGAGATCTGGTCATTGCTTCAGTACACCATGTTGGGTGCCATGTGATATCAATTAATGGTAATTGGCATCAATTCAATGCCAACAAGAATCCCCGATTTGGAGTGTAGTGAAGAAGGAAAGTTAATTCAGTACAAACAGCTCAATTGTAATACAGCAGGGCTGTGGAACAGCTCAATATAGTTAGAGTTCAATTATAAATTAGTATGGTTGTAGAACAGCATGGCTGTGAGGTGGCCCTTGGGTGAGTGAGGAACTTCTCCAGCTAGACAGTTCTGCTCCAGTCTGCGCCAGGAAACACAGTCTTCAATCTTGGATAGATAGGGAAAGTGTCTTCCTGCAGGCAGAGGGGAGCTGGCTTATATAGAGAGATCTCCCTGCATCTGGTCCCTGAATGGTCCATCCTCATGCAGAAGAGGATTCCAAATCTTCACAATCTGACTGGTCCAAATGCATTGTCCTGATTGGTCAGTAAAGATGCAAATGAAGATATAGCTGCATGACTAATTGGATGGGGAAAGTCTCAATCCTATTGGTTGAAATGCAATTCCAGGAACTTGTGTAAGGTCTGGCTCAGATGGCAGGAACACAGTCCAAAAAGTAGCTCAGTGCAGGAGGCAGGCAGTTCAGTGCAGGCTTCTCCCTGAGGTGTGGCTTGTGTGTGAGGCCCCTGTTTGCAAACAGCTACTACACTCTGTTTTTAAATTTGAGCCCAGTTAACTGTCATGAGCTGCCCTTGGTAAGTATCTTCTTTCTTGGTGTCAACAGCAATACCTGCAAAGCATAAAAAAACAAGGTATGCCTGTATATTTATAAGATGTATCTCCTCATTTTTTGTCCACTTGACCTCCCTCACACTGATAGTAATGTGCAAAAATCTATTAGTATATTTTTATATATTTCTTTACATCTTTTTAGTTTCTTCTTTGTATGGTATTTGTAGGGTTACTTGGTAAATAAGGGTCTATAACTATTATACCTTCACTGTAAATTGTGAAATTTAGCTTTATAAAGTAGCCTTCTTTGTTCTTTGTAGTGCTTTTTATCCTAAATTGAACTTGTCTAATAAGATTGAGGTCTCCATTTTGTTATTACTTACTTGGATTTCTTTGCTCATTCCTTTATTTTTAGCGTTTCTGAATTACTTTATTTTAGGTGTACAATAGAGTGGGTTTTCTTTTAGGAGACAATTTGAAAATCTTTTTTTTTTTTGCCTCTTTAAACAGTAAATCTTTAGTTTATGAATTGCAAACACTTTTCCTAGTTTGTTATTTTTTATTTTTTTAATATATTTTATTAATTATGCTATTACAGTTGTTCTATTTCCCCCCTTCATTCCCCTCCACCCTGCACAACCCCTCCCCCACTCTTCCCCCCCTTTAGTTTATGACCACATGTCTCAAGTTCTTTAGATTCTATATCTCCCATACTATTCTTGCCCTCCCCCCTATTTTCTACCTACCATCTACGCTACTAATTTTCTGTACCTTCTCCCCCCTTCTCCTTCTCCCACTCCCCTGTTGTTAACCCTCCATGTGATCTTCATTTCTATGGTTCTGCCCCTGATCTAGCTGTCCTCTTAGTTTGCTTTTGTTTTAGGTGTGGTTCTTAATAACTGCGAGTTTGCTGTCCTTTCACTGTTCATCTTTTTTATCTTCTTTTTCTTAGATAAGTCCCTTTAAGATTTCATATAATACGGGCTTGGTGATGATGAACTTCTTGAATTTGATCTTATCTGAGAAGCACTTTATCTGCCCTTCCATTCTAAATGAAAGTTTTGCTGGATAGAGTATCTTGGTTGTAGGTCTTTGGATTTCATGACTTGGAATACCTCTTTCCAGCCCCTTCTTGCCTGTAAGGTCTCTTTTGAGAAATCAGCTGAGAGTCTGATGGGAACTCCTTTGTAGGTGACTGTCCCCTTATCTCTTGCTGCATCTAGGATTCTCTCCTTCATTTGAATCTTGGCTAATGTAATTATGATGTGCCTTGGTGTGTTTCTTCTTGGGTCCAACTTCTTTGGGACTCTGAGCTTCCTGGATTTCCTGAAGTCTATTTCCTTTGCCAGATTGGGGAAATTCTCCTTTATTATTTGTTCAAATAAGTTTTCCACTTGTGGCTGTTCCTTTCCCCCTTCTGGTACCCCTATAACTTGGATGTTGGAGCATTTAAAGATGTCCTGGAGGTTCCTAAGTCTCTTCTCATTTTTTTGAATTCTTGTTTCTTCATATTTTCCTGTTTGTCCATTATTCTCTTCCTTCTGGTTCACTCCCTTGATTTGAGTCCCAGTTTCCTCTTCATCACTGTTGGTTTCTTGTGGAATTCCATTCATTTCAATTAGTTTAGCCTTTATATGTTCCTCTAATTTGTGACTATAATCAACCAGTTCTGTGAGCATCCTGATCACCAGTGTTTTGAACTGTGCATCTGAAAGTTTTGCTACTTCTTCGTTGCTTAGATTAATGGGCTCTGGGGCTTTGAGATCTTCTTGAGCCATTTTTGGTCTGTTCACGCCCATTAAGTGTGAGGAGCGGAGCCTTAGATGTTTACCAGGGGTGGGCGGCCAGGGTTGCTAAGTTGTGACGCTGTATGTGGGGGCGGGGTCAGAGTGGGGAAATGGTGGTCCCCTCTGCTGCCTCTCGCCGCCCACTCCCTCACTGGTCTATCTGTCAGGCTGAAGAATTCGTTGTTTTCAGACTTCCAAAAAGTTCAATTTTCTGTGTTCTGGCTGTGTTTTCTGTTACTTGTATTTTGTTGTCTCTCAACTTGGTTGTGGGAGAAAGCACAGCATCTCCAGCTATGCCTCCATCTTGGCGGAAGTCTCTTTTTCTTGTTATAGGTCAGTTAAACCCATTCACGTTGTTTCATATGTTTGTTTTTTTCTTCTAGGACTTAATCTTTATTATTATTATTTTTTATTTAATTATTTTTCAACTACAGTATTCTGTCTTTTACTCCCATCCCAGCCCACCCCCCTGTCCCCCCCACGTCCCTTCCATTTCCACCCCCCTTAGTTGTTGTCCTTGTGTCCTTTATACCAGTTCCTGTAAATCCTTCCCCTTTTCCCCCTGAAATTCCCTCCTCTCTCCCCTCTGGTCGCTGTTCTATTCTCTATTTCAGTGTCGTTGTTTTTATTTTGCTTGCTTGTTTGTTTTGTTGTTTAGCTTCAGAAAATATGGAACACTTCATGAATTTGCATCTCATCCTTGCTCAGGAGCCATGCTAATCTCTGTATCATTCCAATTTTAGTGTATGTGCTGCCGAAGCAAGCATTCATATGTTTGTTTTTAACGGTCATGTTATTTTATGTAATAAATGTGCATTTGTTTTCTATTGAGTATACTTCTTTTCTCTTTTTAAAATTTCTCTTGGTATTTAGAAAGGTTTAGTTTGTTGTAATATTACCTTTATACTTATATCTTTTATAATGCCCTTTTTTACTCTCTGTTTTGATAGTTTTAAATGTTGGGTTTTTTTTTTTAATCCTCACTCAAGGGTTTGTTTTTATTGATTTGAGAGAGAGAGGAAGGGGGTGGAGGGAGAGAGGAGAGACATTAATGTGAGAAATATCAATCAGTTGCCTTTTGTATATGCTGCAACCAGGGATCAAACCCACAACCTAGGTATGTACCCTGACTGGGAATTGAACCCACAGCCTTTTGGTGTATGGGACGACACTCTAACCAGTTGAACCATCGGGCCAGAGCTTAAATGGTATTTTCTAACTCCTGTCTTTTACTTGTGCAACAGTTGATGAGCTTATTTTGTTTTCTCTTTTCTCTGGCCTCATCCCCTCATTTTTGTATCTACAGGTTTATGTCTTTTGCCAAATTGGGGAGATTTCCTGCCATATTTCTTCAAATGTTTTTCAGCTCCATCTCTCCTTTTGAGACTGTAATAACACAAATGTTACATCTTTCATTATTGTCCTACAAGTTCCTGAAATGCTCATTTCTCTGCAGTCTTATTTGTTTTTTCTTTCATTCAGATTGCATAATTTATATTGGTCTATCTTTTGAATTTGGTTAATTTTTTCCCTCTTTACATTTTACTCTTGAGTCCTTCTAGTGAGTTTTAAATTTTGATTACTGAATTTTTCAGTTTTAAACTTTCTCTTTGTTCTTCTTGATGTCTTCTATTTCTTTGCTGAGACTTCCATATTTGTTTCATACATGTTCATAATTGCTCAGTGAAGCATTTTTATGATAGTCACTTTAAAATCCTTGTCAGATAATTTCAGTACTTCTGTCAGCTTAGTGTAGCATTTGGTGACTGGTTTTTTCCTCCCTTTGAGTTGATGATCTTGGTTCTTGGTATAATGAGTTACTTTCAGTTTTAGCCTGCATATTTTAGCTTTTATGTTATGAGCCTCTGGTTTCTGTTTTAATCTTGTTAGCTGTTAGACTGGGCAGTAAGCAGGCTTTGCCAATACACATATCTATAGATCTAGAATGGGATAGTTCATGGACTCAGCTCTCAGAGCTTCTGTCTTCCCTTTTTTTTGAAGTTGCAATATTTCCATTTTTTCAGAACAAAATGCATTTATAAATTACTCTTCCACCTTTAGCCTCACATTTGTGTTAGTCTTCCTCAGTCATCTTAGTGAATGAAGCTCAACCTCTAGTAAAGATGTCAGCAAATTTTCCTATAAAGGACAAATAGAAAGTATTGTAGGCTGTTCAGGCCACGTGGTCTCTGTCCCACCAATGTGGGACTGTTTTACTAGGATACGCTACCTGTAAGCCCTCTCCTCTTCTCTGATGTTTAAACAGGCTCGGGGAAGGAGGTTCAAACAAAAGTTTGAATTTAATTTTTTCTCTTTTTACAAATAATTTGAAATTTGTAGTGTTCTCTTACTCTTAGTAATGCTGAAGATGTGGGCTCTATGTGGCTTTATTTGCTCTTATTCATATATACACTTTTTTGAAGGAGAGATTTGAATGCAGGTGGTTGCTATTATTTCAGCACTAAAGAATATCTTTAATTTAGACGACCCTAATAGGAAACATCTGTAGATCTCACACGAGATGAGACCTGTGCTTACATTTCTCTGAAGACAACCTATATATAAGCTGTTTGACTTTGAATGAGTCAACAAATCTGAGCCTCATTTTTTTATTATTTGCAAAATTAAATGTATACAGGGCATGTTTATATATACTTCATGCTCTCATTAAGTGAGGACATTTTTCAAAAGGTTTGCAAATAATTTTTTTTCCAAATGAAGTTAAAATGCTAAGTCATTTCTTTGATCTTTTTGCTTTAATCTGAAAAATCATTTATATTGTTAGATATGTTTGAAAATCACTAGTATAGAGAGATGATCTTTCAGGTCCTTGCTAGACTTGAGGCAGCATGGTATATTGGTTTCATTCCATATATAAAGTGTTTCCTTGTGATTATTAGTTTCTCAATCTGTGGGGGAAGTGAGAATTACTTTTCTGCCTGTTTTTAAATTCATCTATCTGGCCCTGGATGATGTGGCTCAGTGGATTGAGCACTGGCCTGTGAACCAAAAGATCACCAGTTTGATTCCCAGCCTAGGGCACCTGCCTGGGTTGTGGGCCAAATCCCCAGCAGGGTGGGGGTGTGCTGTCAGAGGCAACCACACATTGATGTTTTTCTCCCTCTCTTTTTCCCTCCCTTCCCCTCTCTGAAAATAAATAAATAAGATCTTTTGAAAAATAAATAAAAATCTCCTATAAAGATAAATAAATTTATCTATCTGATGTATAACTACAGAAGTTGAGGTAAAAGTTGTCCCAGACTTCTGTGTCTCATTTTTGTGTTGAATGAGTTGAGGTAGGCATTGAGAGTTACCTACTACTTCATAAGTTTATCAGGTAAATAACCAAGTTCAAACATGAATTTAATTACTTTTTATGTTACCACCCCTGAGGTCTATTATGTATTTTGAGCATTCAAACAAATACATAAACCAGTAATTTTTTTCTACTTTCTATAGATTCTTGTAGATACTGTTTGGGCTCTGTCATACCTGACAGATGGAGGTAATGAGCAGATACAGATGGTTATTGATTCAGGGGTTGTACCATTTCTTGTGCCCCTGCTGAGCCACCAGGAAGTGAAAGTTCAAGTAAGTATTTTTAAAGTTTTCTTACTTGTATAAAATTGTTTGTTATAACCATTAATTTGAACAACTAGGCTTTAGTTCTGTTTGTATGCAGCTGTCTCCATAATTCTTTTACTAAACCTGATATTGTTGATTTCCAAATCTTTATCTCTCCCAGATTCTTGGCTACATTTCAGACTCATGTAGCCAATTGTCCTTCAGCCTTTAGACATTCCTCTAATAACTCCTTTAAGCATTCTATTATTATTTCAACCAGACAAAAATGATAGGTATCATTGTCTCTCACAAAACTGCTCTTCTTCCTATATCCCCTTTCAGTGGACAGATGGCAAGTCCAAGCTGGAAACCCTGAATTCCTCCTTTCATTTTCTCCCCATTACAAAATCCTGGCAATTCTGATTACATAGCTTCAAATCTGTCTTCTTATGTATCTCGAGCCACTGATTTAGTTCAAGACTTGTTTTCTTTCCTCAAGATAATTGCAGTATCATCCTAAGTGCATTTCCTTCTCTGTCTAGTTTCTCCTCACTCTAATTAGGGGTATGTGGTTGATAGATCTGTTGATCCCACTTCTGTAAAAGTAACTTTCTAGATGGAAATGTCTGCCCATTCCAGATGGGACCAATTTAGTAATAGATAAAAATAGCTGTTAAAAACAGACCTTTATTTTAAATATTTAAAAACTTTTCCCGTATAATGTTTCCATATAGTTCCATTTTCACAAAAATAGTGTTTAAAATTGTTTCTAGTTCTGTGAAGTGCTTTGTATAAGAATGCAATAAGTGGTAATCATTCACCCTTTGTATTTTTACATTTTCTCAGAATTCTGAAAAAGTACAGAATGTATTTCATCATAAACAAATTTATAGAAAACATTTTATCCCCACCCCAGACAGCAGCACTGAGAGCAGTTGGCAACATAGTAACTGGCACCGATGAGCAGACCCAGGTTGTTCTCAACTGTGATGTTCTGTCACACTTCCCAAATCTCTTGTCACACCCAAAGGAGAAGATAAACAAGGTAAGGCGTATATCCTCAGTGCATTTCCTTCTCTTTGCATATCTCATTTTTAACTGTCCTTTTGTTTCTCTTGTTGCTGTTTGATTGTGATTTTCTTCAAAATCACAGCAGTTAAGTTGAAAATTATTTCAAATCACCTCTGTAATTATTTTGTTTCTATTTTTATTTGCTTGCTACATGTGCTGTCCTGATCATTACAGATTAAAAGTTACTTTTGTACTAACCAGTGTATTAATTTAAATAGACTGAGTAGTAGCAAGTTAACAAATTAGTAGCCACTAGTTTAGAATACATAAAACATCTCTCATTGGATGGCTGGTATCTTTTTTTAAAAATTCTTACTGGAGGACATGCTGATTTTAGAGAGAGGGGAAGAAAGGGAGAGAGATAGGGAGAGAAACATTGATTGGTTGCCTCTTGCACACACCCTAAGTGGGGACTGAACCCTCAAGTTAGGTATGTGTCCTGACCAGGAATTGAACCCATGATCTTTAGCTGGTTGGAGTGGGACAACACTCCAACCAGCTAAGCCACACTGGCCAGGGCTGGCTGGTATTTTTTATAAACAAACAGACCATAATATAATCTCCCTACAAAATTAGATTGTACCAAAAGGTGGGGTGCCTAAATTAAAAGATCATAAAAATTTCTTTTTTCAAGATTTCAAGCTTGAGATACCAACTTATTAATTGTTAAATAGTTACTTAAGTGTTTTGTGTCTGGCTTATATCATATTGCTAATGTTTTCAAGGTTCATCCATGTTGGAGCATGTATCAGAACTTCATTCCTTTTCATGGTGGCATAAATATTCTATTGTATATATATACCACATTTTTTTAATCCATTCATCTATTGATGGACACTTGGATTGTTTTTATCTTTTGGGTGTTGTGAATAATGCTGCTATGGACATTAGCATACAACTGTCTGTTTTACTCCTTGCTTTCAGTCCCTTTGGTATCTATATTGTTTTTATTGCCACCCTAGTGGTAGAAGTTGTGTCTCATGGTTTTAGTTGCATTTAGCTTAATGTAGTTTTAGCTTCCTGAAATGTCACCATCCCCAAAACCAGAATTACTGATCATTTCTTCTGTCATAGCTATATGTACATAGTTGCTTGACTGTATCTTAACAGTTGGATATTTACAGAAAAGTAT